AGCCGAAATAGTGAATTTTTAAAAGTATTTATGTGATCAAATATATAACTAAATATGCACAGTTTTAAATATCTTTGCATATAAACATCATTAAAATACTATACAAATAATTACCTAGGATTTTCTAAGTGTCTCTGGTTGTGTATAAACTATTTGTTATGTAAAAACAATTTTATAACTGATCCACAATTTGCAGGACAATTTATAGTAGTCATCTTTATGGTACCCATATGTCATTATAAGGAAATACTTAGTTGATATATAACCTCAATTTCCTATTACTTGTAAACGATAACAAAATCTTTCTTTCATAGGAATACCTACCTATGTGCTGCTGAATACTTCTGGGATTTCCATTCCAGCAAGAGTAGATCGTCTTGAACTTCTGAGTATCTCAGGAAGTTCCCTTAAGACTATTCCTGTTAAATATTACCCAGATCGAAAACCTTATGGCATATGGAATATTTCTGACTTTATGCCACCAAATGAAGCTTTCTTTCTCAAAGTAACTGGCTATGATAAGGATGATTATCTCTTCCAGAGAGTATCAAGTGTTTCCTTTTCCAACATTGTTCCAGGTGAGACATCATTTTATTCAACATTGGAATATTGATAGTTTGAGGGAGGGATGTGGTCTCAAAGTTAAGGAATGGACTATAAAATAAAAAACATATTGTTACATTATTACTGTGTCACCAAATTAATGGGCATTTACACTTAAGTAATGGTTCTTCCTAAACATTTATTAGCACACCAAAAATTTCATATTAAGTCTCACTGATCGTAGATCTGAGAATTTTGATTACTTTAGTCAATGTAAGAACTGGAACTGGGAAATTCTGGAACCTTTTCTCCCCCCCACAAAAGCCTGGTGCGTATGTTTCAGTTATTTATCTTTTTATAGTTCTAAAAAATATATTTTTTGTTCATATTTATTTATTTAAAATAAATACATATACAAAAAATTATATATTTTTGTTTATATTTATTCATTTCATAAATCATTATTAAATTATTTCAGTTGGCTAAATGTTTATATACAGTTGTCAGAATCCTTATACTCCATGAATAGTAGTTTTTATAAACGACTGGTGATTACTGTCTTAATTTGGTTACTTGGTTAGTTATTTAATTGGTAAGCTAGTACCTATATATTTGCCATGTGTAGAGATGAGATGACAGATTCAAGATTATTTGGTGGCATCAGATATCATTTCAGCTGATCTATACTTGAGCTGTTTCTCAAGGCTGATGACTGAACTCTGACCCAAACATTGGAAGTATAGCTTAAATTATGACAAAAATATAGGAATATTGCTTCTAAAATTGTACTATTGGGTTGAGAGACAACAATTTGTCATTTATATATAAGGTAGTGATTTGAAAAATTTAGGAATAACTTAATAGCTATTATTTAATAGTTGTAAGATAGTAAGAATAGAACCAACTTCAATATTTCCTTGTATAAAATATTCAAAGTTAGTTGGCTTAGCCCCTCAATTGCATGCTTTATAAAATCTGATGGATTCCTAAAAATCATTTTTTTACATTGCTTTTGGGGAAAATTACTCTACCTATTTGACACTAAGATATATATGTTCTTACCTTTTTGAAATAAAAATGCATTCTATAATTGTTGATATATTGTGACTTACTTGATAGCTATTTTTTCCTATCTTGGTAGTACAAAAAATATTATGACTTAAAATCAGTGGGGTCTTAGATTCAATGAAGTTGTCTATGAAGATTCCCAGAAGTGAATCAGGTTGGAACAAATAAAGATAGTTAACTATGAGTGATTTGGATTAATTGGAACATGGTAAACACACTGGATAATGTAAGTATAAAGCTTTTGAACAGAATACCAAGAGCTACCCAACATCATTGTGACCTTCTTGCCTTTGTTTGTTTTTTCCTAGATGCTCCCAAAGTTACAATGCCCAAGAAAACCCCAGGATACTACCTGCAGCCAGGCCGGATTCTCTGCTCTGTTGAGAGTCTTTTGCCCTTTACCTTGAGCTTTCTCAGGAATGGAGCTACACTTGGAGTAGAACAGTATTTTAAGTGTGTAAATATTTCTATCAGTTATAATTTATAGCTTTAAACATGAACTTGTTTATTAGAGATTCTCACTTATTTGCTTCGTAGACTGAAATATAAGCAGTGAACAGAATAGACACGGATCTGTGCCCTTGTAGAGCTTATATTGTAATCAAAGGAGAAAGAAAACAGATAATGACAAGCATAAATCCTAGAATACTTTCAAAGATTAACTCTGATTTTATAGAATCTGAATTTTATTTAATTTGGGGGTCTCTTCTTAAGAGTACAGAATTATGAATACAACATTAGTTACTAAATCTTAAAGAGGATCCTGCAAACGAGAGGTCTTGAAGCTTTAGCTTTGCTAGTTTCAAGTGAAAAAATGTTTCTGAGTCTGATTTAAAGTATTATAAGTGAACCTGAAAAGTGCTATGGCAAAAAGTAAAGCAGATCAATTGGGATGAATAATACTGGTAGGTGAGGTGCATGTGGTTTTGGCCAATTCATGATTTTAAGACTCAAGGTAAAGGGTAGTTGAGCAATCTGAAGAAGGTGGGAGATATGGCCAATTAGATATCCAGGAAAGAACACTGACATACTAAAAAGAGCAGGTGCAAAGGTGTGCGAGCCAGAGAAGACTGGACACGTGGGAAAGAAAGACAAGATGAAGGCCAGTATGATTGGAGCCTAGTGAGCCAGGAGGCGAAGGGTAATAGATGAGATCAGAGGGCTGTGGTCTATGTTTGCAGGTGGAGACATAGGTGGACCAGAGCGTGTGTGGCTACTGCATGTAACAATCAGTAAGAGTGGGCTGGAGGGCACCAACTTTTCTTTGTGAAGCTGGGTAACTTTTAAAAAAAATATATAAGTAATCTAATGAAAAACATTGAATAGAGTTTGAAAACTAGAGGAAAACAATTTTCGGGAATATGTTGCCTTTTTACTGACTCTGAAGCAAACTGCATTTTGGGAAAAAACTCCACATATTATTTTACCAATCCTTTATACTTTTAATTCAATATTAATGTAGCTTCCATAAGATATTAAATACTTGGCAGTCTTAGCTTATGTAATCTCTTTATGGGGAATCATTTAAAGCAAAAATTTATGGCAGGAATGTTCATCATAAATTTAGAAAATTTTCCATTTTATAAAGATTGAACTATATTATTTTCTTCTCCTTATATAGTATATCTTAATGGTTTACTTAGCTGCATATTTAATAACCAGCAATATAACTGAGCCATAGATCAAACAATGAAAGTTTCAAAAGTGACTGACCAAATCAAATAATTCTGCTTCATGTTGAAATAATAATATTTTTCAAAGACATTTAAGATTCCTTATGAATTCATTAGTCCCACACAGTTCCTAGGAGGTAGGCCCAAGAATTCTTTTTCTCATTTTCCCAGCTCTGTTTCCCAGAGAAGTGACATACTTTGCTAACATATTTTAAGCCCTTTGGACGTGAGAGAGGCTGGATATAAAATTAAGCATGGGTGATGATAGACTGATACTCTAATCCTGATTCACTCACATGTCTCTGCCCTAGATTTCCTAATAACATAAAACATGTGACTTAATGTTTGTTTGTGTCAGTCACTTTGGTCACCAGAGGATGTCAGAGAGAATCAGTTTGCCTTAGCAGCAGGGAACATTCCTATTTGACGTGTTTTTTTCCCCCTATTCCAAGGTCCAACCCCTTAAAACTTTTTATTTTATTTTTAATGATTGTGAGTACAGAATAGTTGTATATCTTTATAGGGTACATGTGATGTTTCGATACAGGCACACAATGTGCGTTAATCAAATCAGAGTAAATTGGAGCGTCCACCTCCCCATGTGTCCCTCACGTCTTTGTGTTAGGTACTTTCCAATTCCACTCTTGCAGTTAAAGTAAATCCTTAACTTATTGTAAATCATAGTTCATTTGTTGTGCTATCTCAGCTTTCTCATTTTAAAAAAGTGGGCTTTAAGCCTAGACGAATGATCACTTTCTGTGGTAAAACTAACATGAATTTAAGTTGTTAATGAATCCTACTATAGTTGTTAATGAAGCCTATTATACTCTCACCTCTGAAGTAGGCACAGCAGAAAATACCAAAGATGTTTGTATTCCAAATCCCTAACTTCCTGGAACTTACCAGTACCTTCTAGAAGATGACATTTACAACCTTGTACTTAGTGTACTGCTGCTAAGCATTCGAGATGCAGCTAAAGTGATCAATGCGGTAGAGTCAGGTGACTCCTATGACTGAGAATCATGGCACGTAGGGCATACCGAATTGAAAGGAAACCACACTAGCTGAGGTGAACATCCTCATCCTTTAAAATATATGGAACAGCGACCTTGCTTAGTTTCTCACTTTCCTGATAACAGGAACCTATACCTTACCTTTCTCTAACGACCCCCTGGGTCAGTGCTAAATGCAAATTAAGAGCTCAGTAATTTGTTGATGATGTTTTGATGACAGGTATGGCATGTTTGGTGATAACTATAAGATGACTTAAGTCAGTTTTTCACTATATTTGCATCATGAATTTTTAAAAGATTATGTGTAGTTATAGATAGTACAAGAGATAAATTACGAAAATACTTATGACATTTCAACTATTTTTAAAAATAAGATAATACCTATTTTTGCAGATTATTGGACTATTTTAAAGAAGGATTAAATATCTATTCCTAAGACATTTCTAGAAAATTAGAAATAATTTAACAGTGTGAGAAGACAAAGAATATTCATTAAATGGGCTCAGCACCTATAGCTCAGTAGGTAGGGC